GGTCCACCCAGCTTCACCTCTGAGGTGCCAAGATTGAAGTGTGCACATCACATCTGGTGTTTCTTCAAAAGCTTTTCTAGAATGTCTTCTCTATGTACTTTACATGTGTACAATGTTTTCTTCTTAAGTGAATCCAGAGGATGTAAGAGTCATGCCAAAAGTAAAACCAAAACCAAACATTTCTCAGAGCCAGTTATACCCATCACTTCGAACACTGTAATGATTTAGTTTTTCAATCTTCACCCTTTTTCCCACTTTGACACCCTGAGGACCTAGCTGTCAAGGGCACTAAGATCCCCCAGGCAGCTCGGCCTTCGGAGGGACACAGGGGCAGACTGCATAATCATGGTCTCTTTTGCCAATCTGAGTTCCTCCTCCACTTTCTGCATAGAAACTGAGAAGCAGCAGCTTTTGGGAATAGATGATTCCCTGTGGCTCTTAGAACACCCTGAACACCACTTAGACTGAGTGTCAAGGGCACTGAAAGGGTCCTCTGAAACCCTTGCCTTTATTTACACCAAGAATAATGAATGCTGTAATGCACGCACACGTCACTAACTGAAGCAGCGTCATTCTAAGATGGTTCTGTCAAGCAGTGTAGGCCACTTACCAGGATACAAACTGCCTTTTCAATTAGCACCATTAAAAATTAATGCCGGTAGGTGGGCACGAACTAAACCTCAGTGATGCTAGTCATCTTTCCCTTTACTAAATCCTCTTCCATGGTAATTACAGAAGGAAAGGCATAAACCATGTAGCCGCACTTATTTTCCTACTGCAGCTCAGAGAAGTCAAGAAGTAAGATCGTAACGACAGTTGTAAAATGATGGTACAATCAACTTCAAGGAAAGCGACACAGGGTTGGAGCAGTAACAGCAACAACTTCACCTCCTAAGGAAAGCAGCCTCGACTACCCACAGGGCTGGTTCAGATGAATCGTGGTGCGCTGCAAGACTCAGACCTCTGCACTCTCACTGTATGAATTTCTAAAGAACATGGGTTTAAGACACTTTCACACATACATGTCACCTCCATGTGATGCTAATATATACCATCTTCACCCCCTCCCCTCCCCTCCCTGATGATTCTTTCTCCCCATGTGTGTGTGTACCTGTGTGTTTGTGTATGCGCGAGCCTGCCTGCCTGTCTCTGTGAGTGTTTGGAAACCAGATGACAACTCAGGTCTCCCCATGCACCATGTGGTTTCTAGGGATGAGACTTGGGTGATCAGATTTGGCAGCAAGTGCCCCTACCTCCTGAGCCATGCAGTTTTACTCACGCACATTTAAAAAATCATTATCCAGTGGTCATTTGGAAAATATTGACTCACTGAATTGAGATTTCCCCAACCTTAACACACTGGAAAAATAATAAGATCAGTATTATTAATGAAAATTGTTTCAACCCTATGGAAACCTGACAGACCCAGGGGACTCACAAGAACTTGTAGCTAGGATAGACCCATTTTGAAGACTGAGAAATCAAAATAACCAGGCAGTCCAGCACACACACACATTTCAAAAGTACTCTGAGATCACGCTCCCCTTCCCCTGGCCCAGGGTCTACACTGTGCACAAGGTCCCTCTGCCTCTGGCTGTGATCAGCAGTGGGCACCACTGCTCTTGTCAAAAATATTTTGAAATATAAAGGTTAAAAGTACTTAGGCAGATACACTAAAGAGCTCCTCAAATTCCTGATTTTGTACAGTGACCTTTTATTCCTGTTATTTCTGAGAGAGGTCTTGCTGGTCAGCCGAGGCCATCCTTGAACTTGCAGCACACCAATCTTCCTTACTCAGCCTCCCCAGTGCTGGGAATTCCAGATGTGTGACACCATGTCTGCCCTGAGGTTTTTTGTTTGTTTTTGTTTTAATTTATTTAATTTTATTTTATAGGTGTGAAGTTGTCAGATCCCCTGGAGCTGGAGTTACAGACAGTTGTGAGCTGCCAGGTGGGCGCTGGGAATTGAACCCCGGTCCTCTGGAAGAGCAGAGAATGCGCTTAAACACTGAGCCATCTCTCCAGCCCCCTGGGTTTTCTTCAAGTGTCACATCTATATCCCTCATATGCGTGATCTAGGGTTTGTGTCTGAATGTAAATCCCAGCATCTAACTTGGCCTCTGAACCAGGAAAGAAAAATCTCGTATGTCTTGGGCTACTATTTCTTGGTAAGGGTTCTGTGGCTACTGATGCTTGCTTGCTCTCCTGCTTCCCAAGCCCCTTTTATCTCTCTCCTTCCCCCTTTCTCTAAGGTCTCATGCAGTCTAAGTTGACCTCAAATTCTCTGTTGTTGAGGATGGCAGCCTTGAATTCCTGACTCTCAAGCCTCCAATCTGGGAGTGCTGGGATTCCAGGCTTGTGCCACCATGCCTGGCTGGATTCCATCTTAATGACCATTTTAGTATTGTAAGCATATAAAATCTCATTTAGTATCAATCTGTAATTCCCTGTTAGAATCTCAGTGTCCTGTAAAGAACACTTATAAGGAAGGAGGAAAAGTGAAGGGTGCCCTTTGGCCACCGACCAACAGTTCTTCAGTTGTCCTTTTCACGTCCTGCACCATACTTCTTGTTCAACCACAGGGAAAGGGCACTGGGTCTAGGGGTGAAGGACCCAGGAACCCTGAGAGATGGAAGGAGAGTCCCTCACGCTAAAGCTGATCCCAAGCTGTTTCCTTCCCTGACTACCCATTGTAGCAATTCTCAGGCAGGAAAGCACCCCACGCAGTAGGTACCTGAAATCATGAGTGACAGGGCATAGCTTCTGAGGGGCTGCTGGGGTAAGGTGTTTATAAGGGCATCTTAGTCAAAGTTCTACTGCAGTGGCGACACCATGGCCATGGCAACTTCAAAAGGAAAACATTTACTTGCGGGCATGCTTACAGTTTCAGAGGTTGGTCCAGTATCACTATGGCGGGCAGACATGGTGCTGGAGGAGCTAAGAGCTGCACCCTGACTTGCAGGCAGAGCCTGGGCCTACTATGGGCTTCTGAAACCTCAAAGCCCCCCGACAATGATGCGCTTACTCCAACAGTCCGGAACTTTTAATCCTTCTAATTCTTTCAAATAGTGCCACTCTCTGATGATTAAGCAACCAAATACATGAGCCCGTCAGGGTCAGGACCACTGTTATTCAAACCACCACAAAGGTCTTGTAAAATGAAAAATTTGGAAGTCATTGTAAAGTTTATTCTTTAACATAAAATGCTCTCCTTACCAGATTTTGTTTTGAGGTTAAGGTATGTCCAGCATTAATTTTGCTGGCATATTTTGGTGGGAGTTTTGCACCCATCTTTATACAAACTTTCTGAAGAAGAAGAAGCTTAAAACTGGGCAACAAAGTAGAAATAAAAGGGGAAGGTTCTCTACCACCCACTAGTGCTTCTTTCTGTCATACCCTCCCGCTTTAAAAAAATTAATTTGATGTTCTCAGCAACAGGCTAATCCCTTAGCTCGGAAACATCAAACACAGCATCCCAAGTTTACTACATGAAAAACATTGTGATGTTTAGAAGAATTAGGGATAGAATTACATTCTTCATTAAAATTACCAAGTTTTCCAATATTCCGAACTAAAGCAGTTTCTCTGAGGGTCTTCACCTCAGATTTGATTCTTTCCGTTAGTGAGAATCCATAGTAATGAGTATTTTATTTTATTTTGAGACTCGGTTTCTCTGTTCTGGCTGGCCTGGAACTCAGAGATCTGACTGCCTCTGCCTCCCGATGTTGACTGTCCTCGAGCCCCGGTCAGGGTCTATAGTGTCAGCCACAAAGGACACAACAGCCCACAGAGCATGTACAGACCACCCCCGGAGTTATGCAGGCTCCAAATGCGTTCTCTTTATGCCTGCTTTACTACGACAATGCACCATGAAAAGAGTCCAAGCGCTCACACTTGTATTGTATGGCGATGGCGGAGGAGAACAAAGCAGAAGGGTGGAGAAAGGCGGTATGATTAGCTGTTTGAGAAGTTGGGTGGAAGTTCTCCCGGCCAACGGCACGTCACGTACAGGATTTTTCGCTCCTCCTGCCTGGCTTGGCGACCTGGCTCGCCCGAGGGCCTTTATGACCAGCTACCAGCTAAAATCGACGAAAAGCCTGCATCGTGCGCAGCTTCTGCCGCGAATGCATTCTGGTCTGCGAGCTTGGGCCTAACCCCTCGCCCTTCCAACTCCCTCCCTCCACCCCCGCCAACAGCCCGAGCCCGGTTCCCAGCTCCGACTCTCCCTGCCGGCCGGGCGGGCAGGCGCGGGCGCGGCCGCTCCAGCGAGCCGCAGCCCGAGGCGACGTGGCCCCGCCCCAGGGCCTTGACTCCGCCCCGTGTGGGCGGGGCGGGGGCGGGGCGGGAGGAGCGGCGCCCCGGTCCCGCCCCAGGGGCCGAAGGGAGTGGGCAGCAACGCACTCCAGGTCGCGCCGCTCGCCGCCCCGC